TCTGCCTTGCTTCTTAGGCCGACCATTTTACAACTGTTCAGTTGTCTCTCTGATCTGGCTAACTTAAATTGGCTTAAAAGAATTTTTACTCTTTTATTATATATTGCTCTTTATATTTCATTTGAAAAGAAAGGAATGAGAGAAGGTATGGCATAACATGCTTTGTGCTATATCCACTTCATTAAGAATCAAAACAGTGGTTCTTTCTAAAATTAGCAAGTGGAAAAATTCTGAGCATCTCATGGCATTATTGTGATGTTGGTTGGTTGCCTGCTTATGCTACTCAATTGCCTTGAGCTTACATTGATTTCGTCTCTACCTGATGGGGCTCTTTTAGCCTTGGACAACGATGTGCCCTTATATCAGGTACCCGTTGGATGGCCTGCGGGCAACCAGGGGTTGTGGGAAGCTTTTTTATGGCTTTATGCCTATTTTACTGAGTCCTCGCTCTGGGGCCTATTTGCCTGTTATCCTTTGCTGCTCCCATTTCTTCAATTTCTTCAGGTGCTGATTTAGCTGGATGGATTGTTTTTTGCTGCCTGTGAAATTTTTTGGTGCTTACCAGCTGGGCTCTTCTCGGGATGTTATTCTCACCAGATTTAGGCTCTTCTTCGTGACTGCTGCTTCCAGGCTTGTTCAGTTTGTGTTTAATTGATTCATGTTTTCCTTTTTGTGTATTTGGTTGCAAGCATAATCTTTTCCACTTCTTTTTGTGCTCTTTTGAGCAGCTCTGGTTTTTTGGAGCTTTTGGTTTTTTTGTAACCTCATTCTTCTTTTAATATACGAGCTTGGCTCTTATTTTCCCCAAAAAAAAATATTGGTTAAAGATGTAAACGCTTCATTCCTTTTTACTGAGTCACTGTACATTATATACAGAGGTAAGCTATTGTAGAGTTACACGTGTAGGCTTGATAGACAGTGTGTTTGTTAGTGATGAGAGGCTGAGATTATTTAAGGCATGTGCTGGTTTGTTATATTGTCAGAGTTTATCACTTTGTGCTTCATTATTACCTAATAAAATTTCTCCCACTGAATATGGAAACAAAGTTTACTCTTGTCCTTCTGAAGATGAAGATCGACAGTTCAAGAAGCCAAAGGTCTCATCTTTCAGTAGAAGCGGTGATCATGGCATTATCAGTTCTCCATTTCTTGAACTTGGAAATAGAAGTTTATCAAAGAAATGTAATTATGAATATGAAACATATAAATCTCGTAAGAGAAACAAGTATGTGTGCATAATATGTAATAAGAGCTTTCCTTCATATCAAGCTCTTGGCGGCCACCGCAAAAGCCACAGGAACATGAAAGGAAAGGAATTTATTAATCAGAACTGTGATTCACAAACTGTTGGAAAATTTCCAGAGAACATCGAAAGCCGTAAGTGCTCAATTTTTTGGTAAGACTTCTTCAACTGGGCAAGCTTTAGGTGGTCACAAGAGATCACATTTGGTTGCAGGAAATAGTTTTGTAGCTTCTGCTTCTGCTATTGTTATTTCTATTGCTGGTAGTAATGGTGCTCATCACCAAACAGCAGGCTAATAGACAGAGCAAAATATTTCTAAGCCGAATTTGATTGATCTCAACCTGCCAGGGCCTGATAAAGACTGTAAGGAAATTTCTAATACAGTATTGAGTTTGTGACTTGTACATTTTCTCCGATAAAGATGCAATCTTTCAACATTTTTATTTGATTTGTTGATCCAATTAAAAGAGGGTGGCTATTCTTTTCATCCCATTTCAAGCTTTTTTAGGGGTTCTGAGAATAACGATATTTTGATAAAGCTGCATTCATGAACTGATTGGAAGTTTCGATGCAGATCGTAAATCTCTATAGCACATTCTTCTTTAAAGTATATTTGATATGAATTTTTCTCTTGTTTTTAATTTGCTGCAACAATTGATATATATGGTTAATAATATGATAAATTTCTTAAGTTTTAAGGCACTGTGTTTGTTATATAAACTGCGTTAAAGCTTGTATGTTTGAATGTTTCTCTTTTTATGAAAGAGATCAAAATTTTTTAAGGTTTCGTTTATGACAATTTAATTACTTCTTCAAAAAGCAAATTTTTAGCACAAATTTTTTTACTAAAAACTGTTTTAGATAGTAATAAAAAAGCTGTCCTAAACAAAGCCGATGGCTTCATTTGAAACAGCTTTTTTGCTGCTTTCTAAAACATCATGTTAGTACGAAATTTTCATGAATTAGATTTTTTTGTAGTAGAAAGCCGTTTTAGAAAGTAGTAAAAAAACTATCCCAAAACAAAACCTAAATTGTTCGAGATACAACTACGGGCAGCTCACAGCTTTATGTTCCTTCAAATTTGGCAAGTTTTAAATAAACAGTAAAAAAAGCTTTTGATGTCTAAAGAGTGGGTGCCAATTTAATACAAAATATTTGTTATTTAATTTCATTTACTCTGAATCTCAAGCTCAATGCTCCTACCCTTATGATAATATTTGTCAACGTGGGAGAATTTGATTGATCAACATGAATTCTTTTCACCATAAAAAGATTTGTGCCAGAAATTTGTATCACTAAGTATTCTCATGGACATTCATGTTTGTATTAATCTTGTGCCAGCCTCCAAAGAGTTTCTTTTTCTCTAATTAATTTGCGAGCAACTTAACTTTTTCTTTTAATTTTAAATAATACTAAGTTTTCCGTTCTCATAAATGTACCTTGGTATATGCTTTTTGCTCGTGATATTCTTCTTGTTGATAAGACTAGAGGTCAAACTTAGCATTTAAAGGTTTTCATTTGAGCAAAACAAAAATCAAATACAAGGAATATAATTTTAATAATAATAAATCTAGTAGGGGATTGTGACTTTGGGCGATCAAGTCATTAAAAAGAGTACATATTATAGATATCTAAGGTCTATCATTCAAAGTGACAGTAAAGTAGATGGGGATATTATTAATAGTTTTTGAGTTAGATGGTTGAAATGGAGGAATGCTTCAGACCTGTTGTGTGATAGAAAAGTACCCCTCAAAGTTAAATAGAAATTCTATAAGATGATGGTGGGACCTTTAATGCTTTATGGCGCAAAACATTAGCCATTAAAAGAGAAGCATAAAATTAAGTTAAGTGTTGCAAAGATGAGGATTTTTAGATGGATGTATAAAATTTACTTTTAAATGCTATATTATTTATTTTAAATTTATAGATAAAATATATAATATAATTGATATATTAATATTCTCTTCAAAATAATGAAATTAAATTTCTATTAATTCAACTTAAATTCCATTATTGTACAAGTAAATAATAAATTGTAAGCACGCTATATTATCTAATGCTTCCGACCTCCTCCATCATGAGTTATAGGCATGCAAAAAATTATCTAGTTATAAGTGCATTTACTACTTTTCTATGAAATATAAGAAAATTTTAATATGGCAGTTGAATGCTTATCATAATTCTCTACTTGGTCTTTTGAAGTTGATCTGTCATTCTGAGACATTTCACTTGATCCAAGTGGCCGGAAAAAAATCTTTTGATAGTTACCTTCTTCCATAAATGAAGAGATGAGCAAAACCAATTGGTTAACAGAAATTCAGATGTAGGCTGATAAATGGCAGAGTAAGCACACCCGATCTTATGCCTCAGTTGATATTCAAAGAGAAAGAAAGATGAATGTAGAATTTAGGGGGGAAATGTGACTATTATAGAAGTGATATAGGTTCACTAGTAGACACATAAGAACAGACTCAATAAAAAGGCCTGACAACGTTGTCGAGTTTTTGAAAGGTTATTGTAATAAAAAGGCCTGGAGAAAGGCAGGTGTTACTGGTAGTGATGGCTGTTCAGAGTAGTGAGGTTTCTCATTTATGTTCAAACATAACGTACTTTCTAAATAGATGTTAAAGGCTTGGATCATCACCATCCCAACAATTTGGGGACAGCTTTAGAGTCCTCATTGTTCATTAGTTCCTACTGATCAAATCTTTTGCCACTTCAATCAATGTTATCTTAGGTTTCTCTCTTCTCCTTAATCCTTGGACAAAAATTTTATCTACCCAACTAATAAATATATTTTTTGGCCTTCGTTATACATATCCAAATTTTGTAAGTTTAACTTCCCAATACTCGGATATATGCAACACTATTTTAAGAAAATATGCAGGAGACTGCAGTTTTAAATTGATACCTATGTTGCACCAATACGGATACGGCCACACAGATACGACACGATACGGATACGGGACACGTCAATTCTTAAAAATACAGGATACAGGTACGGCGCGGACACGACATCATAATTTATAAATCATGCATAAAAATTAAGAAAGCAATCAAAGCATAATAATTGAAATTACAAAAAAAAATGACAACAACATCATTTGTAGCCTTGTAGCTTATAATATCAAAATATAAGTAAGCATTAAATGTCTAGTACAACAACAAAAGTATAAACATAAATTGTCTAGCACATAAAGTTTCAACTATTTAATAGTAGGAATGATATGATTAACTTCTTCAGTGGTTTGTCTTTGAACTTCTATATCATCTTCAATAAATATCATAGATTTTAATTCAGGCTCATCAAGTGAAAGATTAGTAATTTCTAATATTCTCATATCATCAAGAGACTCAAATCCATCTCGGAAATGAGATAGCTTTGCTCGCAGCTGCGGAAATAAATACGACGTTTGTTTTTCAACGGACACGTGTATCGGATACTCGTGTCCTTTTGAAATTAAATAGTATTTTAATTGGATACGTCTTTGGCGTATCCGACACGTATCGGTGGAGTATCGGAGGCGTATCCGTGTATCGGTGTATCGGATACAGCACGCCTTCATAAATAGGTGTATCGGTGCAACATAGATTGATACATTTAAACTACTTCTGTTGCTTCTTTACTGTTTTGTTTGTTCAAAACCCTGAACGCCCAGTTCTAGTATAATGGAAGAATGTTTTAATAAAGAGGTAAGTAAATTTATAGAACTTTACAAGAAAACACAATTGCAGCCGATTAGATGATTAAATAGACTCATTTCAACTTGCACAACTTAAAAATTAAGCTTCAAAATTATGTTCTCGCATTGCACAAAGAAAAAACTTTTGGATGAAGGGCTAAAGAAAGGTTAAAGTGGTCATACTAAGCATTCAATCTTGAGAGAATTGATCTGGTCACCAAAGTACTTGTCTTCTCAGTTGCATCCCTTAGCTGAACCTTATAAGTGTTCACAGCATAGCTGCATTTTGTCACAAAACATAACAAGAAGTTGCCAAACTTCAGTGAATGTGAAAACTTACTTGTCATCTCATCAATAACTGAAACAAGCTTATCATTTGTGTCAGGAGTGAAGTAAACATCCAGATTCATGATATTCTGGAAGAGATGGAATGATGACTCGGTCCAAACCACTTGCTCTGATATCAAGCCTTGGTGACCAGGTAAGAATACAAGCTTCTTGCCCTTTCCTCCCCCACAGAGTAATCTCTGACAAAAGGCCGAAACATGAGATGGGTGCAAACATTCTTTAATTATCCTCACAAGCACATCACAAAGCATAGCATTGATCCCTTCCTTGTGAAGCACAAGCGGAAAAATGAGACCTTCCACTGCCGCAGTCTGGTGCTGCTTGCAAAAGCAAATGGTAGCCGAAAGCAGAGCTCGAGAAGCCGGGCTTTGTAAAGTTAGGAGTTTGGGAAGGGCCATGGAGCATAGAACATAACTCGGCCAGCTTTTGGAGAACAAACCACCATCATTAACGAGATGCAATAGCAAAACAGACAAGGTCTCATCAGTTGCCTCCCATGGTTCAATCAGTTCCAACACCTTGAGCTCATTTCCTACTCCTGATTCCAAGCAAAGCTGCCTGATTTTATCAGCCAAGTGCAGGGAATCCGCCGTGCAGTCTATAGCCAAAAGTTCAGCTTTCAAAGCATTAGCCTTTTGGATGGACTGGGAAAGAAGAGGAGGTGGAGAATTATCATTGTCTTCCGATTCAGATAAAGGTTTGATTTTTCCGTTTTTGCTAACCAGTTCCTTGCTTCTGGATTTCTTCGCAAACTCAAAGGCGGCTGCTTTTTTAAGGTGGCTTACATTGACAGGAAGCCAAGGGAGAAGAGTGTTAGTTTTGGCAACATTTTCAAGCCAATGCGGCAAAGAATCGAACTCATTTTCGCTTGCCCGTTGTTCTGATTCAAGAACTGACCCAGGCAAAGCGTCGAACAGGTTGCGGGCAGCTCGCCGGACCCAGAAAGCCGGATGGTCAGCGGAGAAAGGAAGATCAGAGTTCATTATATGGCATGCAAGGGATTGAAGCCGGCGAGGGCAGAATCTGCGGCTCTCGGCTGTGAGGAGTGAGAGAATGCGGGTTTGGATTGAAAAAGGAAGGGTTTGGAACCAAATGAGTGGGTTTGAAGAGGAAGGAGAAGCGGTAAGAGAGGAGAGAGAGTGCAAGGGGGAGGGGGAGGGGGAGAGGAGGAGAGATAGGAAGGCAGATGTAGCAGGAGAATGGAGCTCGTGGTGTTGTTCTAGGAGCCAGAACGAGGCTTCTCCCTCGGGAGAGGGAGAGTCGAGTAGGATTTGGAAGAGGGGAAGCCATTGCTCCATCACCAATCTAATGGCATCCAACGATCATTTACTGGGCGAGTGGAACAGCAGCCGTTCACAATGCAGTAGATGTAGAGCGCAATTCGAGAAAATTGATTTTATTTTTTTATATTCTAAGAAATATTAGCAATGCAGAACACAGAATGCTCTAAATGAAAAAATGCTCAAAGAGTTTGATATAAACATTTTTATAAGATAGTTTTTCAGAATAATTTTTTTTTAGACAGACGCTAGACGAACTGGTAAATATGTTGTTAATAGCAACTAGGTGTCTAAATGAGTTGAGTTGTTTCAAGCCTAATTTGCTAATGAGCGCATGAGTCAAGTTTACTGAGCAACGAGTTCGAGCTCGAGCCTGTACTCTAGCTCAGCCTGACTCAGTTCATAAACTTGTTGAGTTGCTCGACAAACTTAAAATATATTTAATAATTAATTTAAATTAGTATTATATAATATATTTTAAACTTTTTAAATTAATGCTATATTAATAATATCATATGGTGGATTTAATGAATTGTAATATACTAGCAAAAGATAAAAGCTTTTATTTCATACTACCAAGATAAGATTTTTTTCTTTTTTCGGTGTGTCATTTAGGCCAATTAAGACAAACTCTCATGCACATACCAAACGAAAGACTTGAACCTAAGACATTAGTTTGTAGCTAAAGCTCTTGGCCAGTTAAAGATGAGCTGCATAGTCAAGAATAAGTTTATACATCATTGTAGAGCTATCTGTTGAGTTTATAGGGGAGTATAATACATGAATATTTTCATAGCATGGAAGAGTAGTTAATCTCAATCAAGATGAGGGAGAAATTTTAAGATCATAATCCACATTTTGAAGAAGCAAATATTTGATTTTGTTGTAATAATCCTCTCGCCAGTGTGTTCAACAAAATCCATATGTATCTTTTAAGGAAATTTGTGATAGAGATATCATATTTATCAAAGATGAGGATGTTATTAACATAAATGAAATTAGATTTAGAATCATTTTTGTAATTTAAGACTTTTTTACTTCATGGTATTACATTGAGTTTCAAGTATGAAAGAAGATATATTCATAATGAAAGCAAAGAAAAAGCATAAGAGGGGGCACCCTAGCTTCAAACCATTGGAGGCTTCAAACTATCTCCAAAGTTCTCCATTCTTGACAAGAGAGAAAGATGTACTTTCCACAGTTTTTAATCTATTTGATAATTTTCTTAGGAATAACTTTTTGAATCAATTTTTGAGTGTGTGTGTGTTTAATTAACACAATTGAAGGATTTATGTAGATCAAGGTAGGCACAAAAGGTTTTAGGAGCAGAAGTATTGATCCTCTATTCAATTTAGTAGCAAAAAAAATGTTATATTAATATCGCTACCCTTCATGAAAACAAATTGAGCATTGTGATAAGAGTAGGGAAGCTTTGCAAAAGTTTTGTAGAGCATATTATAAAGGGGAAAAGGATGATGGTCATTGAGACCTTCATAATGTCACTTTTTTGGGGATGAGGGCAATCATAGAATGCTTGAACCTTTTAGGTAGCTTAGCTATTGCAAGGAAATATTAAGTAGATTGAATGAAATCTTGAACAATAACATCACATGCTTCCATTAATAAAAAATGGAAGGCGATACAACAAGGCTAGGATATTCATTCATTCTTCCCAGTTAAAAATACAACCTCTTTAATATCAATTTTCTTTTCAGCCACACATTAGATATTCATGATAAAATTGGTGATAAATGTCAATCATGGATTATATCGATTCAAATGAAGTGCGGATCCTAGTATTTTGAGATTGAAATATTCTAGGATAGTAATGATGGAGAATTAAGAGAAATAATAATGATAAATCTAATAATGGTGTTTATAATAGGTCAAAAAGTAACAACTATATAAAATACCTAAAAAATGTTAATTATGATAAATCTGGAGGCATACAATACAACAAACTAAAAGGTGTTGCTTGCATTGAACCTATTGTTATAGAAGATTTGTAGGTAGTGCCAATATTTGTATGAAAAATTTTGGAGATAACAATAAGCATAAGGGTGATGGTTGTGACGAATCAAGAAATAGTGTTTTCAACTAACCTACATATAACAACTATGATAAACACCAAAGTAATGATACTAAAATACTTATAGGCATTCTTACTATGAACCTATTTGACATTGGTAGGATTGTTGTAAACTATGAGTATTAAATCTCATCCTTTTCAATCAATTAGATAGGCATCCATACATTAATTCTTGAAGATAATTTGTTATGTAGTGGTAATGACTTTAACATAGGGAATCTTTCGATGAAAATAATGAGAGTCACATGGAAGTAATGATAAATTTTGATCATGGATGATATAGATATAATTCAAGTGTTGGATTTTTGTACATTGATAATAGCATATACTAGAATGGTTATTATTTAAGGATTAAAAAAAGGCCTATAATATGCCTAAATGTGGTATCTACAAAGTAGATAAAGGACATCAATTATGATTGACCTAAATGTTGAGATTGTGTCAAACATAAATGCTATGCTTTACATTGAGCCTTTGGCTTTAGAATTGTCTAAGGTTTTATATATATATATATATATATATATATATATATATATATATATATATATATATATTGTTTAGAGTATTCTAGAATATGCAATTAATGACTTTTGTAAAAGAAGATAGGAGAATATTCTAGAAAGTCAATATTAGCCCTTGGATTGAAATGTGTTGGCACAATCCTAAGGGGGTAGTCACTAGTATAAATAGGTGTGGAGTCTTTGTGTTTATGTAAGAAAGTAGAATCAAGAGTTCAAGAGTGAAATAAAAGTGAGTTTTATAAGTGTTCCTCTTCTCTTCTAAAATTCTTCCTCTTCTTATAGCCTCTTATCATCCAACAGAAGGGCTAAAGAGAGGTTAAAGTGGTCATACTAAGCATTCAATCTTGAGAGAATTGATCTGGTCACCAAAGTACTTGTCTTCTCAGTTGCATCCCTTAGCTGAACTTTATAAGTGTTCGCAGCATAGCTGCATTTTGTCACAAAACATAACAAGAAGTTGCCAAACTTCAGTGAATGTGAAAACTTACTTGCCATCTCATCAATAACTGAAACAAGCTTATCATTTGTGTCAGGAGTGAAGTTAACATCCAGATTCATGATATTCTGGAACAGATGGAATGATGACTCGGTCCAAACCACTTGCTCTGATATCAAGCCTTGGTGACCAGGTAAGAATACAAGCTTCCTGCCCTTTCCTCCCCCACAGAGTAATCTCTGACAAAAGGCCGAAACATGAGATGGGTGCAAACATTCTTTAATTATCCTCACAAGCACATCACAAAGCATAGCATTGATCCCTTCCTTGTGAAGCACAAGCGGAAAAATGAGACCTTCCACTGCCGCAGTCTGGTGCTGCTTGCAAAAGCAAATGGTAGCCGAAAGCAGAGCTCGAGAAGCCGGGCTTTGCAAAGTTAGGAGCTTGGGAAGGGCCATGGAGCATAGAACATAACTCGACCAGCTTTTGGAGAAGAAATCACCATCATTAACGAGATGCAATAGCAAAACAGACATGGTCTCATCAGTTGCCTCCCATGGTTTAATCAGTTCCAACACCTTGAGCTCATTTCCTACTCCTGATTCCAAGCAAAGCTGCCTGATTTCATCAGCCAAGTGCAGGGAATCCGCCGGGCAGTCTATAGCCAAAAGTTTAGCTTTCAAAGCATTAGCCTTTTGGATGAACCGGGGAAGAAGAAGAGGTGGAGAATTATCAATGTCTTCCGTTTCCAATAAAGATTTGATTTTTCTGTTTTTGCTAACCAGTTCTTTGCTTCTGGATTTCTTCGCCAACTCAAAGGTGGCTTCTTTTTGAAGATGGCTTACATTGACAGGAAGCCAAGGGAGAAGAGGAGTGCTAGTTTTGGCAATATTTTTAAGCCAATCCGGTAAAGAATCGAACTCATTTTCGTTTGCCCGTTGCTTTGATTCAAGAACTGACCCAGGCAAAGCGTCGAACAGGTTGCGGGCAGCTCGCCGGACCCAGAAAGCGGGATGGTCAGAGGAGGAAGGAAGATCAGAGTTCAATATATGGCATGCGAGGGATTGAAGCCGGCGAGGGCAGAATCGGCGGCTCTCGGCTGCGAGGAGTGAGAGAATGCGAGTTTGGATTGAAAAAGGAAGGGTTTGGAGCCAAATGAGTGGGTTTGAAGAGGAAGGAGAAGCGGTGAGAGGGGAGAGAGAGTGCAAGGGGGAGAGGAGGAGAGATAGGAAGGCGGAGGTAGCAGGAGAATGGAGCTCATGGTGTTGTTCTAGGAGCCAGAACGAAGCTTCTCCCTCGGGAGAGGGAGAGTCGAGTAGGATTTGGAAGAGGGGGAGCCATTGCTCCATGACCAATCTAATGGCATCCAACGATCATTTACGGGGCGAGCTGGAACAGCAGCCGTTTACAACGCAGTGGACTGTAGTGTGCCATTCCAGATAATTTATGTTGCACAGATACACCTATTTATGAAGGTGTGTCATATTCCATACATCGATACATGGTTACGCTTGACTCGGATACGTATCGGATATGACTTTGCCATATCAAATTAAAATACTATTGAATTTCAAAAGGACATGCGTATCCGATACAAGTATCCGTTGAAAAACAAAAAAAAAAACGGAAAAAAAGACGCATCGTATTTACTTCTGCGGCGAGGTTATCTCATTTCCGAGATGGATTTGAGTCACTTGATGATATGAAAATATTAGAAATTGCTAATCTTTCACTTATGAGCCTAAATTAAAAGTTATGATATTTATTGAAGATTATATAGAAGTTCAAAGACAAACCACTGAAGAAGCTAATCAAATCATTCCTTCTATTGAATTGTTGAAACTTCATGTGCTAGACAATTTATGTTTTTGTTTTTGTTGACGTACTAGGCATTTAATGATTACTTTTATTTTGATATTATAAGCTACAAGGCTATAAATGATGTTACTTTCTTTTTTTTTTTTGTAATTTCAAATGTTATGTTTTGATTGTTTTCTTAATTTTAATGTATGATTTATAAATATGGGCGGATCCCCTATCTGCTCAGGGTGGGCAAAATGCCCACCCTAAAAAAAAATATATTAAATA